AATATATATTTAGTAATACAAGTCTTAATGTAACTTTAGCGATAAAATTCTTTATATATATTTAGTAATACACGTCTTAATATATGTTTAGTAATACAAGACTTAATATATATTTAATAATACAAATCTTTATATATCTTTAGTGATACAAATCTTAATATATCTTTAAGTGATACAAAACTTAATATATGTTTAGTAATACAAGCCTAATATATCTTTAGTGATACATGTCTTAATATATATTTAGTAATACATGTCTCAATATGTCTTTAGTGAAACAGGTCTTAATATATATTTAGTGGTACAAAACTTAATATATGTTTAGTAATACAAGCCTAATATATCTTTAGTGATACAAGTCTTAATATATATTTATTGATGCAAGTCTTAATATATCTATAGTGATACAACTCTAGATATATATTTCGTAATATAAGTCTTAATACATCTTTAGTGATACAAATCTTAATATATCTTTAGTAATACAAGTATTAATATATATTTAGTAATACAAGTCTTAATATATCTTTAGTGATAAAAGTCTTTATATATATATATTTAGTAATACACGTCTTAATATATGTTTAGTAATACAAGACTTAATATATATTTAATAATACAAACCTTTATATATCTTATGATACAGGTTTTAATATATCTTTAGTGATACAAATCTTAATATATATTTAGTAATACAAGTTTCTTACCTTAGACAATGCAATTCGCGCGTTAGTGAATACAGCGAACCAAACTGGAATATGAATTCGGCCATTCGATTTCAAATTCCGAGCCATTATTTATTAGACCACCCGCACATCCAAACTTGACATTCACAAGCGGTCACCCATATAGGTAATGACCAGCCTCAACGTTGCTTAATTTCTGTGATCTTAGGAGAATGTATACCTTTTAAATTCAATGCAGACCTTTTAAATATACAATAAAATTATAGAGTGGGAAAAAGACAAATAATCCCGTCATCTTTTACGGGGTTACGCGCCTGCAAGCATTTTCTGTACCCAACTCTGAGCCGTTATCTGGTACATATATTCAAGCTCACAGCACCTGGTACTCCCAAAGGGTTACCCATCGAGGTAATGAACAGGTTCGACGTTGCTTAAATTCGGTGAAACTTAGGCGAAACGGTGTTTCAACGCTATATGGCTGTTCAGCTCAAAATTCTCTTAACAATGTGAGTAAATAGATACAACACCTCATCTCAGAAATACAGATAGATCCTGATGAAGGTCGGATCGTACAACGGCCGAAGCATCGTGAATATGACAACAAAAGTGAGGACAACAATCTGAACAATGTAAATAGAATAAATAGTTACAATAACTCATCTCAGAAATATAGACAGATCCTGAAGAAGGCCTGATCGTACAACGGTCGAAACGTTGTCAATATGACAACAAAAGTGAAGACAACAATCGGAACAATGTAAATAGAGTAAATAGTTACAATAACTCATCTCAGAAATATAGACAGATCCTGAAGAAGGCCTGATCGTACAACGGTCGAAACGTTGTCAATATGACAACAAAAGTGAAGAAAATATCGGAACAATGTAAATAGAGTAAATAGTTACAATAACTCATCTCAGAAATATAGACAGATCCTGAAGAAGGCCTGATCGTACAACGGTCGAAACGTTGTTAATATGACAACAAAAGTGAAGACAACAATCTGAACAATGTAAATAGAGTAAATAGTTACAATAACTCATCTCAGAAATATAGACCGATCCTGAAGACCGGATCGTAAAATGGTCGAAACGTCGTGAATATGACAACAAAAGTGATGACAACAATCTGAACAATGTGAATAGAGTAAATAATTACAATACCTCATCTCAGAAATATAGACAGATCCTGAAGAAGTCCGGATTGTACAACGGCCGAAACGTCGGGGATATGGCAAAAAGGTGAGGACAACAATTTGAACAATGAAAATAGAGTAACTAGTTACAATACCTCATCTCAGAAATATAGACAGATCCTGAAGATGTCCGGATTGTACAATGGCCGAAACGTCGTGAATATCTTAAAAAGATGAGGACAACATCCCGAACAATGCAAATAAAGTAAATGATTAAAATATCTCAGAAATATAGACATTGAATTTTCTTGTTATTTAAACACATTTTCTGATGATGTCGGACCACTGGCGAAATAATTCAAGCTAGCTCTTATTATTATTATTACTTAGCTAGTCACAATCACTGACCAGAACATACCCCGTCCTGGGTAAGACGATAAACTTCATCCGACAGCAAGGCCTCTAATCAGAATTTTTTGAAGAGCGTGGAACGACCTCTTGGTTGCTTGTGTTCTCGGCTCCACCCAAGTCTGGGGTGATGGCTCCTGCTGCTGGGTTCCCGTTTATGGAGAAATAGTTAACCCCCAAAACACTATGAAGGTACAAAAATATATTTTAATACCAGCAATACATTTTTGTAAAAAAAATTATTACCAGCAATTAATTTTTGAAGACAAAATTATTATCAAATGTACATTATTATCAGCAATATATTTCTGAAGGAAAAAAATATTACCAGCAATAAATTTTTGGAAAAAAATATTACAGGTAATATATTTTTGAAGAAAAAAAATATTACCAGCAATACATTTTTGGAAAAAAAAAAAATTACCAGCAATACATTTTTGGAAAAAAATAATACCAGCAATAAAAATGTTGTTAGCATTAAATAACCCATTAGAGATGATATGCCGTAAAAAAAAACAAAAAACAAACCAATATATATTGAGATAGATAGATAGATAGATAGATAGATAGATAGATAGATAGATAGATAGATAGATAGATAAAAAAAATTGCCAGCAATAAAAATCTTGTCGGCATTAAATAACCCATTGAGGTTGATATGCTGTAAAACAAACCAAACTAAACCAATATGTATTGAGATAGATAGATAGATAGATAGATAGATAGATAGATAGATAGATAGATAGATAGATAGATAAAATATATTATCAGCAATAAAAATGTTGTCGGCATTAAATAACCCATTGAGTTGTTGATATGCCGTAAAACACTACAAACGTCTTACCGAACATAAAACAATATTCCCTTCACCAAAACACCTTGTTGCGTACCATTCTTACTACATCCACCATTATACCTCAGAATATCCACGACGTCCTAACTAGTCCCTATATGTACAATTCCTGTCTGTGCGGGGGGGGAGATAAAACAATAATTTAAAAGCGAAGAGCCCTGAAATTATTTATAGAAAAGGTACAGGGAGGCAATTTTACGTCAGTGGAAAAATGACTGAAGCCGAGACGCCAGGTCAAGACCAATAATATTGCCGATTCTTATTTGGATTTTGTCAAGGATCTCTAGATATAAATAAATAAATAAGTTAATGATACTCTGTGAGTGAGTGCGTGTATTTTGCGTGTGTGTACGAGCGAGACGAGAGAGAGAGAGAGAGGGGGGGAGAAAAGAAGGAGAGAGAGAGAGAGGGGGCAGTGGAGAACTTGGAGAGAGAAATTAACAGGAGATAAGTGATAACTGACATCCATTAAACATGGTACGAGGAACTAGAACAGTCTACCCCAGTGAGGAAAAATAAAGGGTTCAATTCGAAATTCCAATCACCTGAAGAAGGCCGGAGCGTACAACGGCAGAAACGTTGTAATAATTACGGCGACAAAGATGCGGACAATAGTCAGACTAATGTAAATAATGTACATAATACCTCATCTCAGAAATATAGAGAGATACAGAGAGGGAGAGAGAGAGAGAAAGTGTGTGTGTGTGTGTGTGTGTGTGTGTGTGTGTGTGTGTGTGTGTGTGTGTGTGTGTGTGTGTGTGTGTGTGTGTGTGTTGTTTGGTTTTGGTTGTGTGTGCGTGTGTGTGTGTGACCCTGGAGAAAAGTTTTCGAAAAATAAAAATTTTATCGTGAAACTGACCAGTAAATGTACCCGACAAAGAAAAATCACACTTTAGGGAAACATACGAAAACAACAAATAAACCCTTAAAAATAAAATTCACGTGTGAATCCCTGAAAAAAGAAAAGAAAAAGAGAGAGAGAGAGAGAGAGAGAGAGAGAGAGAGAGAGAGAGAGAGAGAGAGAGAGAGAGAGAGAGAGGGTGAAAGAGGAAATATGATTATATTAATTAAAAAACTGGACAAAAATTTTTGCTGGGATTGACTTTTCTCCATTTTCCCGGTCGACCTTAGATCTGTTTCGGAATAGTATTTGGGTCTAAATATAATTACTAACCAGAACCACTAACTGCTAATTACTAAGCCTAGTTTGGTACAAGGACACTGTATCCATTAAGGACCGAACCCACTAAAAATTTAATTTACTGACCAATACACTGCGATGAGTTCCCCAGGAGTGTAGTACCTTTTTGTGGTTAACAAGACTAGAATCGCTTTCTTGTGCGCGCGAAATCTTCCGTGTGCACCAGCGATCCGTATTCCAGACCCGCTTCCACACGCTTCAGACGCAAAACATAGCAATTTTTATCTTCCCTTCGAGAGAACGTTACTACTACCAGAACCACACTTGCTACTGCTAATACCTAAATCGCAATTATTTCTCTTATTACTATTGTTTCTGCTATTATACTAAGGAAAGCTCGCCCGTGTAGCAGTAGCAGAAGTAGTAATTGCACTAGCAGCTCAAGTATCCTTACGTCGACGAGGATTACTATTAAATGTTAGGCGTTCATGTGTGCCCCAATTAATTTACAGAAAAAGAAGAAGAAAAAGAATATTAACAGGAAAAAAAAACAAGAAAGCAAAACAAACAAACAAAAAAAAAACATTGAAATCGAGAGAGAGAGATAAATTATATGTTGAATATTTTGGGGCAGTTATTACCTGGTCTTAAAGAGCATCACTAGTAACACTAATACTAAAAACAAAAGATAAAAACACGCTAACAAAAAACGAAGTGATAGGTTAGATTAAGTTACATCATTCTTTCAAAAGTATTCTTCTTACGGTACAAATATCGATGCTAAAGAGTTTGTTTTTTTAATTAATCTACAGGTATTTTCTTTTATATATATTTGCAATATCCTACGAGTTTAAGTTGCATACATAAACTCTAAATTACGCACGCAAACATAAACATTATAAAGATATTTATTTAAAAAAAAAATACAGCTACAAAAAAAACCACGCCGTGGAATATATGGCCACACACGTTCATTACCGCTTGCTTGCCTTATCTTTGATTACTTTTTCTTAAAGACAAGTTAAATTCTTTATTTTTGTTTAAGAATCTTTATTGCCATTTTCTTTTTTTCGTTTGTTTTACGCTTTGTTACATCGAGTTCATCTGACGAAGATTTACGTTACACTAAATATTTCATACGGACCCTATTTGTTTTGCCCGAAACCCACCAAAAACTAAAAAAAAAGGGGGAAAAAGAAAAAAAAACGAAAAAAAAAAACAAAAAAAAAAACGAGAGTCCAACGAACATCCGATTCCAGAACATCACAAAAGTAATTACACCTGTTGCTTGCAAAATGCTTTTTTTTGAAAAGTAAGAAAAAAATACCAACAATCCTGCCTGCCTACCTGCCTATCTATCTATCTATCTATCTATCTATCTATCTATCTATCTATCTATCTAAATATATTCAAATCTATCTATCTCAATCTGATCATATTTGTTCATTATCTATCTATCTATCTAAGTTTATTTCCACTAAATCACTGAGACATTTATATCATTCTATATACGGAAACATACACTCACACACCCACGCGCGCGCACACACACACTCACACATACACACACACATAGAAATATATATGTAAATATATATTCTCCGTCCCGTGTGTGTATATTTGGCTTACATGTTCGGTCTAAGATTTAAACGAACGAAGGAATCAACACATTCATACATACATACAGAATAAATGAATATCGCATCCAAGATATATATGTAGTCTTGATTCTTGTTTAGACAGACATATAAATAGATATTTATATATATATGTGTGTGTATTTATATATATATATATATATATATATATAAATTTTTCTCTGATCAAAACCAAGAATATAGGCAAGATTTAAAATATATACCAATAAGAATAAAAACAGATATTAAAGAAAAAGGTTGTCAATATGATTTTTAATTTGTCATTCTGTTACGAATAAGAGTATTTTTTATACATTGTAATGTGTTTGTTATAAGTTAAGAATAGTTTCTGCAATACTTATCCTAAAAAAGTCATAAAAACCGTGTCTACAGATAAAAAAGTGGGTGCTCGATAAAATACAATGTTCAGAGAAATCGATGAGATTAACTAAGAAAACGCACATTTCAGGTATATCAATGTAGTTTCAACGTCATATAGGCATCAACAAGACATTGTTTTTTTTTATCATATCGCTTCACTAAGACATGAGATTTAAAATAAATCCAAAGTACGAATTATATTAACAGAACGAGTTTTAAAACATAAAATAAAAAAAACACGAAAATCTATCTATCTATCTATCTATCTATCTATCTATCTATCTATCTATCTATCTATCTACGTGCATTGGTGCCTGCTTGAAAAGCTATCGATTTGTTTGATATCTATCGTAGAGTTCGTTTCTACCTGGAGTTACATGCATACACACGCACTGTATCGTAATCGCCAATGTATATATATACACTTGAAGCCTTAGCAGATATGTGAAACGCAGATGATTGCATGTATATATTTCACTATCTACAGAAAATATTGCGTCTATAACCGTTTGTTGATATGCTCAAAAATATTTAATTGGTACTGTACGGTTGGATTCGAGTTGAAAATGCCTGTGAAACGAAGGTACCCAGAGATTGTCATTGACTAAGGAAGATATATAAAGGAGGTCGAAAAGTCTGCTACCTGATAAGAGGAAGATTGGCAAATTAAAAAGAAAAGGTAAAAAAAAGGAAAAAGAGATTTAAAAAAAAAAGGATTTCAAGAAGAAAGAAATATATAGGAAAAAGAAGGAGAATTTTAAAAATAAAAGAACGAACCAGACATACCTTAAAAAGAAGTATTGAGATACATATAAGTATATCTATACATAAATTGATCCGACGAGGTCATAAAATCCAGGGATTATTACAGGTGCAAACAGGTAAGAGACACAATTTATTATTTCGATAATATGAACGTATGAACACACATAGAGACAGACTCACAAACACACGCACACACACATACACACGCACACACACACATATATATATATATATCTGTATATGTATATATGTACATATACAGACACACACAGCGACATATATATATGTGTATATATATATATATATATATATATTTATATATACATGCATATATATATAGATATATGCATGTATATATAAATAAGCATATGTGTGAGTGTGTGTATGTATGTATGTATGTGTGTGTGTGTGTATGCAGCTTGACACATATTTATTAGATGGATTTTGATCTGAACATCTCGGTGTACAACGTCATCTCTATGTGGATAATACGCAAAAATGATTTAAGTCGATTGACAAAAAAGAAGATTGTGTTCAAAAAAAAAAAATAGTACCGGTTAAATTAAATGTACTTTCCATCGTAAGGCCACTGATTTATGAGAAAGTACGCTCATATATATATATATATATATATATATATATATATATATATATATATATATATATATATATATATATATATATATATATACGTGCTCACATATGATATATATGTATGTGTGCGTAGTCATATATATATATATATATATATATATATATATATATGTTTTATTAGGATATAGAATTCGAACAAAAGTGGGGAATAGAGATAAACTGAATTTTTTATTTTGTTTTGAACTTAAGACACACGAAGGCGTAAGAAGTCGTCATTACATATCATTTCACATACAAAAATGTTAATATCCATTCTCAGACTAATATATATATATAAATGTATATATATACATACACATATATATACATATATATATATATATATATATACATACATACATTTATATATATATATATGTGTACACATACATATATATATATATATATATATATATATATATATATATATATATATATATATATATATATATATATATATATATATATATATATATATATATATATATATATATTTATAGACAGGTATATGAAAAGTATATTTAAGTATTGATTTGTATCGAAAGATATAAAATTTTACATAATCAAGTGTGTGATTGCCTGCATTTATAAACATGAACTCATAAAACTTTATACGAAAACAGGTCTGTGTAAGAAAGAGAATGCCTGTGTGTATGTAAAAACAAGATTTCACATACATGTATGTGTTGACATGTATGAATATATATATATATATATATATATATATATATATATATATATATGACATGGACATAAAAATCTATCCAATTCTCTCTCTCATATAAAAACAAACACACAGACATATATATATATATATATAGATATATATATGTATATGTATATGTATATATGTTTAGATGATGTCTAAGTCAAGCTATCTGAGTCTTTCTCTTTCTATCTATCTTAGTCTTTTTCCTTGTTATATCTATCTATCTATCTATCTATCTATCTATCTATCTATCTATCTATCTATCTATCCATCTGTCTGTCTTTCTGTCTCATTGTGTTTCTTTCTGAATATATTCCTAATAACACACCTAAGACTAAAGTATCTTGAATTTTGTACTAAGCTCACGAACAGGACGTATTAAGAAAGTGTATATAAAATATGAATCACCTACTGTATTTCATATATATATATATATATACATATATATACAGAGGTACATTTACATATATATACATATATGGTAATATATGTGCGTGTGCATCTATGTATGCGTCAATGCGTGTAGCAGTTTTTAGTATATCAAAATTAGTATTATGTCATAGTGACATCACTACGAGTATGCAAACGCGCGCGCGTACACACACACATACAATCTCACCGACGCCTGCCTATCTATCTATCTATCTATCTATCTATCTATCTATCTATCTATCTACAATAAAATATGTATCAAATATCATGATTTCTTTCTCTCGAGATTTCAATAG